TGCTGTTCACCCCACAAGCAGCATTTGGTGGATGAGGAGCCCTAATTCCATTTGGGGGAAGTGGGGAGAGGGGAAGGGATTTTCTTTAAAATGAGTTTAAAGGGTCTGGTGTATGGGAAAATGTTCAACCACCTTGTGCCATTCACAGTGCCCCCCTGTCCCGTTCACAGTGCCACCTTGTCCCCATTCAGAGTGCCACCTTGTGCCATATCCAGAGTGCCACCCTGTCCCATTCACAGTGCCACCCTGTGCCATCCAGAATGCCACCCTGTCCCATTCACAGTGCCACCCTGTCCCCTTCACAGTGCCACCTTGTGCCATATCCACAGTGCCACCCTGTCCCATTCACAGTGCCACCCTGTCCCGTTCAGTGCCACCCTGTCCCATTCACAGTGCCACCTTGTGCCATGTTCACAGTGCCACCCTGTCCCGTTCACAGTGCCACCTTGTCCCGTTCACAGTGCCACCTTGTCCCCATTCACAGTGCCACCTTGTCCCATTCAGTGCCACCCTGTCCCGTTTGTCCCACGAGAAGGCTCCCAAATCCCCCATGGGGCACACGAGCAGCAGCCCCACACCTCCATGTGCTGACAGGGAATTCTCTTCCTTTGCAGAACGGRCAGGCAGCTCCAGAGGAAGGTGGGAATCCTCCAGCCAAGGTAAAAACACCCCGGGTTCTGTCTGGAATGTTCCCTGGGGCGTGGGGGGTGTGAGCTGGATGGGAAYGGGATGGGGACGGTTATTTTTAAACCCTCAAAGCTCTGGAAATGTGGAGGAGCACACGTGGGAGTGTGAGGGACTGGAGATGGGCAGGAGGARAGATAAACCCCTGTCCTCCTGTCCCTTTTCCATCCCAAATGCCTGGAAAGTTTTCCAAAGGTCGTATCACAGGAGCTGGAGGCTGAGCTGTGAGAGCCCCTGGGGTGTTTTTGGTGCTGTTTGTGCCTCTCTCTGTGCTGTGATTTTGCCAGAAGGGATGAGAAGCACCACAGCAGTGATGGTTTTGGCACAGCTCTCTGGTATCTGTTTATTCTCTCCTTGCTGGGGCTGGGAGCAGCTCCTGTGCTGCCAAACTGCCCTCTGCATGCCCAGGGATGCCAGGAGCATCTGAGCTGCTCCTCTGCATGCCCAGGGATGCCAGGAGCATCTGAGTGCTTTCCTCTGCATGCCCAGGGATGCCAGGAGGATCTGAGCTGCTCTGAGCTGCTCTCCTCTGCATGGCCAGGGATGCCAGGAGCATCTGAGCTGCTCTCCTCTGCATGCCCAGGGATGCCAGGAGCATCTGAGCTGCTCTCCTCTGCATGCCCAGGGATGCCAGGAGGATCTGAGCTGCTCCATTCCGTGTTCTGAGCAGGATCTGACCCTGCTGCTCCTTCCTGAGGCTCCTCAGCCCATCCTGTGCTCACAGGAGCAGTGTGGTGTCATTTATCTGTCATTTATCTGTCATTTATCTGTATTTATCTGTCATTTATCTGCTGTGTCCATGGCATTCCCTGCCTGTGCCCATCCTCTGTCCTGCACAGAGCA